CGAACGCACTCTATTCGTAGTTTTTATCCGAGCTCGGGAAAGTCGCTTTTCGAGAACTTGGACTCGGAAATCATAGCACTTTGATCGGCTCCAGGAAAGTCTACGACATCGTAAACGGACTATCGGAACTTTAACTCGACCCCTACGCGTCTGCCCCTGTTCATATTATCGCATTCCCTTTCTTAACCGGATTTAGCCGGTCTCTCGGAGTGGTCTCCCCGCGGCGACGAGCCTCTTCCGTGCGCAGCGTATCATGCGCTGAAGATTTTGCAACGTTTTGAGATTACTATGACGCGCGCTTTTCAGACTGCGCCCAGATGCGACTGCGCTGTAACGAAAGATTGTTGACCTTAAGTGCCTGATGATTGCGATAGTTCGTGTTGACAAATCGCGAAATATCCGATCGTGCCAAAGTGCGTGTATATCAGTTCATTTTTACACTCATGATTTCGTCATCGCCGATTCGCTCTTCCTTCGTTTCTCTAATACGTACCACCCTCCCCCCGGTGGCAGCAATGCTATATGCCGGTAGACCTATACCATTCGGCCGATGCTTTGCGACTCGCGCGAAGCCACTGGACTTCACCGAGGACGTCAAGGACCAAGTGGAGTTCAAGGAGGCAACCAAAATCAACGGTAAGCCTCCTACTTGTTCTGAAATTTCTTTCAAAATTTTCCCCCTCAGATGCACCCACTCAGACTGGTAACATCTTTCATGCTCGCTGGGACATACCAACTGCTCGAGCCATCGCTCCTGAGCATTTGAAGCCCAAGACTATACGAGATCACCTGGCTCACTCTGCGGTGTGGCTTTGTCGAACTGGTTACGACTTCTTCTCTGGTTACGACTTCTTCAAGCATGATTATAAGATGTATGCACGCCGGCTCATCGTACTCGAGACTATTGCTGGCATCCCTGGTATGGTCGCTGCTATGAATCGACACCTGAGGTCTCTCCGAAGAATGGAGAGGGATAATGGCTGGATACCAACATTGATCGAGGAGGCTGAGGATGAGAGGATGCACTTACTCATATCTCAGGGTTTGGTATCTCACGGTTGGTTCCTTAGAAGCTTCCTAACAGCCGCTCAAGGTGCCTTCTTCCT